TAATTACCAGGTGGGAGACTGCCATATATAACAGCTGATTCCAATCCCCGAATTTCAATCTGTCGACTCACAGAATAAATATCATTTTTGCTAAAACAGACAACGCAGTCCCCAGGCCGAAGGTTATCTAAAGATTCTAGTGCATGATCCAGCACAGAAATGGGGGTAAGCCGCTCATAGCTTCGAACCTACAATAAAGACAAGAAATGGTCAAGTATTATAACACACCCAACTCCACTTCTTCAGACTATTAAGTGGAAAGTTTGCAATGCACTCAAGAGTAACTTAAAACTAGTAAGTACCAACGTTTTCCAAAAGAAAACCCAGAAAAACATGTATTTTGGTAAGTGTTGCCATCAGTTCTCACTGGCATTTCTAAATAAGATGAAACAAAATGCTTCAGACATTTTCAAAGCACTTTCACATATATTTTATTTCCATGGCAATGTGGTAAGTTTACAAGGGTTATTAACTGTTATTTCTATTTTAGGAAAGAGTAAAATAGAACCCAACGAAAGAGAAGGCCTGAGGCTTTTCCCAGTTCTCGCCTACTGTGATGTGCCTAAGAGTGCAAAGCTAAGAACAGTAAAGTGCAGACTGAAATTCAGAATCTTCCATTACATTCCACTATCTTTCCCTGACAGCTGAGTACAAAACTCAAATAACGGGACAATTTAAAAATATTTCTCCATTTTATTATAGAACTCTGGTAAAGAAAAAGTAAAGTAGGATTAAAAAGAAACCAGTTACTTCCTACTCTAGGGGAATTTGAAAAAGGGATATAAACTGTGTCTGGGAATTAGGTGTATATCAAAGGCTCCAATAACTGACATAAAAGACTTTGAAAACTACCAACTATTGCTGGGTTTCCAACTTCCAAAAGTCCTGATTTATTTATTTCTAAAGAGATCTGCTCAAGCCCCAAAAGGTTTTGTTGAGACAAGATGAAGAATCTCCTATATTATTGGAAGGCTTAGGGTGTGAAGGCCACTCTGTCAGACTTCAGATCATGAGGTTCAACCAAATATAGATGATCTAGTCAATCACAAGAAAATGAAGCTTGCTTTTTAGTTAAGTTCTGATTTTGGCACTATGCAGGGCTTATGATGCCAATGCCTAGGTAGCCTGGGCTGATACGCCACCTTGAGGATGAAGCATATGACCTAATCTAGTACCTCCACTTCCTCCCCAGTTGTGTACATAAGTTCAGTAACCAGGTCAATAGCAGCAGATTCTCCACACAAATGAACTTCTTCAGCACAGAGTCCTGTAAATGCAAAATTGGGATTTTTTTTTAATTTTAAAGATTTATAAT